TTTGGGGTTTAGGTTTTGGGTGTAGGGTGACTCAATTTACATGTCCAACCAAACCACAAAGTAGGGTTGCTTCGCCGCGCATGCATACCCTCCATATTTATCTTCTGTATAGTTGCGAATGCACGATTCTATCCCCTAGAAACGAAGCTCGGATCCCCAAACACGACAATCTGAAACCACATACCCTAACAAAAACGAACAGCGTCATCCATTTACACTTCTGACATTCCAATGCCATCAAGACATCGAATATCTCAACCTCCCAGATGCGAAATAGCTTTTCGCGCAGGCTTCACTATTTTTTGGATAGTTTGGGGGCTTCTGAAAAACGTGAATCAACACGTGTGGATTCGACTGGGAATTGAACGCCTTGGTTGGGTTTGGGGCTCGGGGTACGAGAGGGGGCAGGAGTAAGTGGGTTTAGACCCTTGCTGTGTACACCGCTGTCAGTAAAGGTCCAGAACTGCAAGATTTCGGCTTCAAGGCTGAGTATTCTGGAATATGTACATATATATATATATATATATATATATATATATTCGACACATATACACATACATAAATGTGAATAAAAAATAGAAATAAATAAATAAACAAATAAATGAATAAATATATACATATAGAGAGAGAGATCAACATATATACATATACCTAATATAAGAAGTAATACGCACAATCACTCTTGAAGATCTAACAGCTCTGACTTCGAACATCTGTTCAATCTATTGTTAGGGTTGCCTCTAGTCTTCAGGACTTTTGAATTACCAAGAGAGACCGTGGACGTGCACCTGACCAACTTGATTGCCCTAGAGTTGTTTGGCGGCATCTTTCTTCTGTGCATCGTACTTGCCATGCAACCCCCTGAGATCAAAGCTTCCGCGCGCTAAGCACTAGACCCCAAAACCATCCCTAGACCCTCAACCCCCGAACCACGGTTTAGGGGTTTAGGGTTTATGTGAGATACCGAAATAGTTCCTTTTTGGGGTTCATATTTAGAATCCTACAAAGGTAATCCCCAAAAGGAACTACTGTGGGGCCTATGGGCATCGACCTCCACTTGCCGGGAATAAACACTACGTGATTAGGAAAACAGGCCCAAATAGACTGGGTGTACCAGGCCAGGATACTGTTGATGGACAAAATTCTGCATGACCCAAATATAGTATAGTACCATAAATCCCATAGTTTAGGTATATAAGGTCATGCAGGATTTTGTCCATCAACCGTACTACTCCGCTTAAGCCCTACACCCCAAAACCCAGGAAGGGACGATGGCACAGGGCCTAGGGTAGGGTTTCGAGGCATATTCTTCCTTGACTAAAACGAACATTTAGACTATCGAAGGGGAAGGGGACACTGTAGGGGCCTTTTCTCTTTTAATACTATCATGAATTATATTATGTAAATAATGACCGATAAAGCATTTTTTTGGGGGGGGGGTTCCTTAGGGCATCTTGTTCTTTGACGTAGACTACCGAGGGGGGGAGGGGGATCGTATTCCTATTCGCCCCATGGAGCTTCTCCAAGGCGCCTTTCGTTGACCCCATAACGTAGGGCCTTAATGATCAGAATATAGGGTGTTGGGGGTATGTTATACTATAGTTGTACTAAGGACCCCCCCCCAAAAAAAAAAATGTATAGGTAATTATTTAGGCCCTTATATAATCCCCCGAACTCTAAACTGATAATATAGGTCGCGTATGAGCAGAATGGCCCTAGACTTGCAAGACGGGGGTCCAGAGTCCAGAGGTTAGAGGACAAGATCGGGGGTGTGGGCTTGTGATTTCAGGGGGGTTTCAGGGCATGTGTGTCCAAAACGTAAGGCTTTCACAGCTAATGGACCTTAATTCGCCTGGTCGAATTTCAGGCAACAGTGATCCAATACTGGGACCACTGCCAGCTACTAGGATACCCGCCTTGCGGATTGTGCAAGACTCTGCCAACATTCAACTATAAAAAACCTGACAGATTGAACCTTTCGGCGGACCCTCCCGCCCCCCCCAAGCAGCCGTCCTCCAACGTTTCTGCCAGAATCTTCCACTGGGCGGCAGTCGGCAGGCACAAGTCACCAGACAATCTAAAACACCTCAACTTCATTTGTCAGGGTACAAGTCAGTCCATTGGACTTGTAGTTCGGGTAGCTCTATCTGAAGGCTTTCTTGTCGTAAGCTCCTCGTATGCGTCAACTGTAAACTTGTCGTCCTTAACTCGATAAACCCTGGGCGCTAGACCCTAAACTCCTAAACCCTAAACCCTCAGTTTTGGAAGTGCCCAACTCGGGCCCAGAGCTTGGGCAAGCCTAATGGCATACTTCTCCCTGAAGAACTCCCCTGTGACACAGCATTTTTCACAGCTTCAGGAACGGAGCAATGTCGCGCATGGTACTTTAACTTGCGGTTTACGCACTCATAAGTACAGCTACTGAGCTACTGTAAGCATTTATAAGATTTGTTGAAGTATGGTTGTCTTATTTGTCAACGTAGGGCTTGTTATTAAGTTTGGCTACATCTCTATGGGCATGCCATTGACCGGATCCCATCCTTCACACTCGTGGTAGGTTCCAAACCCGTCGTCTTTCACGCAGTAGGTGTAAGCACAGTAGGCCATATCACAAGCCGCACTGCCCATAGCACATGTCCAGGCTGCCATGAACCTCGCATCCTCATAGCTCGGACGGCTCCCCGGGAAGCCAGGCAGTGCAGGCAGCCAGTGTTTCAGCATGTCCCTCATAGTCATGTTGCCCTTCGCCCCTCTCTGCACCTGGGCTGTTAGTAACCTACCGGGAAAAGTCTATAACTATTATAGACGAAGCCTGGCAACAAAGAAGCACAACCGCATGCCAATGAACAACCTTGGCACAAGAGCATCGGAATTGCAAAGCTCTTCACCTTTCTGATACATTCCGTTAAAATCGCGCTGCAGTGCTCGGATTTCAGCGGAGAGCCACCCGTTGTAGTAGCAGTAGTACTGGTCCCACGAAGCAACTTTGTAATGAAGCAGTGGTTCAACATCGGGAATTTCGACGCTTTTGGCGAAGATCATGTAATCCTGGTTGTAAATAGCATCAGCACACGTCTTTTCCACATTGAGCTCACACCAGCCGAAGGTTGCATTGTGCTCTTCTGTAGCATTGTGCTGGAACTTGCTCAAAGGCACGTCCAGCATCTCGGAATACTCGAGCAGGCTATGGTTGCCACAATCATCTCTTATCACAAAGGACTGGTTGGGCGCGCGTTCGTCTGAAGGGGTGCCGCAAAGGAAACAAAGTCGCCCGTTCGCATCGATGTTTGGCACTACAGGAGAGTCCTGGTCCTGGTTCATGATTCTGAAGTGTTGGATCTCTGAAAGGAGCTCTGCAGCCTGCTGATTTTGCCTGTCAAGGGATGTAACTTGAAGACCATGCTGAAGTAGTGTCGTTTGCTGCGACTCGAAGCAATCTGGCTCTGGCTCGGTCGACCCAAGTGCCACAGCACAGACTGCGAGACGAATCATGTATCCGGGCATTAGGGCAAAGGTTTTTCTGCCCACGGACCACCTACAGATCCTTGAGAAGATGTGCAGAAGCAAGCAGTTTCTCATGCAGAGGTCACAGTCCCAAAACAAGATGATCAAACGTACACTTCGGAGGTTCAGCTGGGGGGCTCAATATTTAGGATGCGGCCGGCGGGAGATCGGTGGCAACGGTAGATCAAAACCGCCTTGAAGCTGAACGGTAGCTCCCTGGCTGAACTTGTCCGATTGTTAACTCCGACGACACCCGAACAGACCCCACACTGCACACTTTCGGATTGCACGGCCCAGATCATACAACATGAAAGCACAGTCCCTACATAACAAGCCAGGGTTCAGGAGGACCAAGCGGACACTCTCCAAATCACCAAAGTCACCGTTTAAGATATGCCGCTTGTAGTGTTTGGGTCGGCCCTACAGTAGAACCCCAAAAGTTGGAAACCCAAAAGCCTCAATCCTTAAGAGTAATGTCTAGGGAATCCCAGCACTGTTTGTCCTTCATCCGGTTTCAATCCTTTTGGGGTTTACTATAAACCTTGAACCCTTTGCCGCCGAGGAACGGCAGCAAGCACCTCCGGATCATCGAAGTCGAACATCTCGAGGATAGGAGCTGCCTGGCAACAGCAGATGGCGATGTCTGCATTAGGAGTTCCTTCTACACGAACCCTAAACCCTAAGCCCTGGGGGTTTAGAGTGAGGTGCGACAGGGGTACGTAAGGGTGATTTCTATCAACTAGAGGTCCCTTTTGTCGGTTTGGGTTTGAGATTAAGGATTTGGAGATCAGCGAATATATCTGGAAATAAGAGGTCTCTTCTGGCTTTCTGTGGATTAGGGCGTCTCTTCGGGCTGGGGTTTTTGCAATTAAACGATATTGCAAATATACGATCCTACCATTCAAGGTATACGTTGGTTCCCCCAAGGCCCTAAACCCTAAATAGAACCTCATAAAGCTCTTCATTCCAGGAACCATTTGAGGATCATCGGAAAATCCACACGAGCCACCTCAACCCTAAACCCCTAAATTAGGGTTTAGGGTTTAACTCTCAGCCGACGTCTCAGACTCGGCGGATATCGCGGCAACCCAAAACCCGAAACCCTCCGTGCCATCCCGGGGATGTTCGAAAATTGCGGTACTCTGCTACCCTACAGTCTACGTAGAGTCTACAGTATATACTATAATTGCTAGAGTCCTACCAGGAAGCCTATAAAACAAGACCAGTTGTTCAAGTCCCCATATGTACTTCTGGTGCGCGGAAAGCGTCGGGTCCCGCAACAAATTAGGGAAAGGTGAGCGTATGCTGTCCTGACCCGGGTGATATGTGAATCCTATAAATCCAAACAAGCAAACGGTGAAGAGTAAGTGGCTTCTCCAGACGCTATATTGGGTTGCCCAGGTTCAGCCGACATCGGTACTACTCAGACCCCTCTCCCCTGGCCTGCTCAGAATCGGCGAAACTTCCGGAGCGGGATGCGGATGCTGAAGATGTCCGTGGAGGAAACGATCGGACATCCTGCGAATTATGGGTTTGGGTCAGATTTGTACATCCGCGACACCAACCCCGCGGCTACCCTTCCCTAAATCCTATAGACCCTGTGATCGACTGGACTTCTGAATCTGTAGCAGTCTGAGACACCACAGGTACCGGGACCAGCCCTCTCTAGGAGGCTCTGTTGGAGCCAAGAAGTACTTAGGGTTTAGGGAACAAGGTTTGGGGTTCATGATCAGAATGCATGTTTGCCGGAAAACGGTGCTTAAGTGCTCGCCGGCACTCGTGGAGCACATGCTTCCGGATCGATGATTGGGGTGATAGGCTTTTGGATTCATGCAGATTGTCTAAGCTTTGATCATGAAGCCTGGAATCTCTCTCTCTCTCTCTCGCTCTCTCGCTCTCTGACAAGCGAAACCACCAGGACGCATAACGTCCACTTACAAGTACCAAGACATCATATACTCCCCCGAATACCAGCTACATCCCAACCCCAGGCACTGTGTTCGCATTGGGACAAACCCCGAATCACTGAAACCAGAAGGCCCCGACTCCCGAGACTGCCCCAGCCTCCCAAAGACCAACCCTAACCCCCCAGTTACCTACTATAAATATAAATATAAATATAAATAAATAAATATATATATATATATAGGGTGATAGAGCCCCTAAGGCCCTATATAGTAGGCACCTGGAGGGTTAGGGCAAGACAAAGACGGTTTCTGGAGCTACTGATTAGCCTCAGGAGTTAGGGTTTACTTTAATTTGATATCTGGGACCGACTAGTTCGAACAGTGTCTTGCGGTACATCTATCAATACTATAACTATACCGTAGTTATACTTTCACCGCAATAAGGAAGGCCAGCCAGTCAGACTATACTGTAGCCCCCTAACAATTACCAATACTATTCGGGGGGTTGCTTATTAGACCTATAGTATAGTATACCCCAAAACCCTGTTCTAACCATTAAAGCTGTTTGGGGTTATATAAGATATAGGGTTTATGTGGGGCTTGAGGGGTTTCGGGCTTACAGAGGCTGGCATGGATTTCTACGTCGTCTATGGTCAACCCTGGCAAGAAACGTAGCTGCACAAAGACCTTTACCTCGGTTTGGGCTGCATGAATGATGGCAGCCCTGAGCCCAAAATGAGTCAAGACCGAATGGTCCCGCGGTTTCATCACATCCCTAAGCCCCAACATCGATCTCTGCCAGCTTAGGTCCCTTGAACACGGACTTCGCATTCCGAGTGTCTAGACTCAAAGCTGTATTAGGGGCCTTATAACACGCCAAAAGCTTTAAATGTCAACCCTACGGCCCTAAACCCAAACCCTCACAACCCTACAACCCGAAGCCTAAACCCTAGACCCTAAAACCCTAAACCCGCATAGTGATCCTTGGGACAACTTCTCCGGCAAAGCCTACCTGCTAAACCTACAGACTGCAGACCCTCTCGAGCCTGTAAGCCCTACTGTAGGGGCCTTTATAATAGTTCGAATAAGGCTTTTTGGGGCCCATTATACTATAATTATGATAAGGAACACCCCAAAATAGTACAGGTAATTATTTTTAGGCCCCCATATTACAAACCCGTACACCCTGAAACCCTAACAAATCCTATAAACACCGAAACGGTGCCTGCAGCTCGACTTCCCCGGAGCCCTCAGCATTTTGGACGTCTTCAGCCTCGCCATCCATCAAAGAGTTTCGGTGTCAGGATTTAAGGGTTTACGGCTTAGGGGTTTGGGGGTTACGGGTTTAGGTTTAGGGTCGCAGCTCCTTTAAAGTAGCTCTTGCAAGGGTTATCTGAGGGGTTTAAGTCAGACTAGATCGTCTGTCCTGATCCTGGACCCTCAACCCCCACGGCGTGCCTCACTATTTCTCAGTCTGTTTCTTGCATCTCAATTTCGATAAAAGTATCGACTGATCCTGCAGCCCCCTGAAGCCCCAAGACATATCAACCAACCCAAAGCCTTGCAGCAGAAACCCTCAAGTCTGCAAAGAAACCTCAAACGGAAAGTCTGACACTTGCGGCCTGAACCAGATGCATGACATGTCGGCAGCTGACAGAAGTACAGGGCAACTGGAAGAGGCACAGCCAAAAAACACCGACAATCACAAGATTAGGATATCCCGCAATCCCCTCTCGCAGCAATCCAACAACGTACTTTTCGGCGGCTGACAGGAGTGAAGGGCAACTGGAAGTTGACGTCGATGCTGCGTCGGGGAAGCTCCTGAGGCTTCGCCCAACGGAAACGGCTTAGGGTTGTAGGATTTAAGGTTTAGGGCTTCTAGGGCTTAGGGCTCAGGAAGATTGCATCTAGAACTTGAGTCGCTCAGGGTTTGAGGGCCGTTGGGATCAGGATAACACAGCTTTCACATGGATAAACAATGTTCTCGACCTTCGGGCTCCTGGACAGACATGAATAAATAGATTATACAGTACATAAACAAATAAGTATATGTCTATAACTGTGCGTGTCTCTCTCTCTCTCTATATATATATATATTGTGAGATCGATATCTCTTCCCTGTTTCAAAAGTCAATATTGCAATCTTCCTGGCCGTAAGCTCCAGGATGGTTCATGTTGTTCTTTTGCCTGCCTGGCTTGGCGTGCAAAGAGTTCGACATCCGAGAGTTCAGGAAATGCTGCACGAGTGGCTGCCACGCTAAAGGGCCCCGTTTGAATATACCCAACACGCCAAATTACGGCTAGAGAAAGGATTGTATGACGATGTTTCTTGGCTGTAGCATTCGCATTTCTTTCAATACCGGACAAATCAACCATCTTTTATATTAACACTGCATGGCAACAGTCTCGTGAGCTTTAGTGAAAGGCAAGTCCATAACAGTTGGTGAATCCAACACTGTAGTCCAGTAGGCTATGAAGTGAGTACAGTACGTAGTGGGTTTCGACCCAGGACCCAGTAACCCGCTGCCTAAGCTAAACACCTCTTATAAATACTCGGTTGAACGCCCAGACGGCCCTTATGATAACACTCTGGGAAACCGTGCTCTCACAGGTACCCATAGGCCCCATAGTAGTTCCTTTTGGGGTCCATATTTAGAATCCCATAAGGTATTCCCCAAAAGGAACTACTATGGGGCCTATGGGTATTCATGACATCTTGAGCACTGGCAGGCGTCCCGCCATCTCTTCCGCTGGGTGCTCTGGGCGAAAGCACGTGCCTCAGCTGACCCTAAGGCCCCACCTACCTCCATTATAGTCTATACTTAGGCCTTAAAGTAACCCTATTTTATGGCTGAGCATATACTATCTACAGTCTCCATTTTTACAGTCTAGGCCTTAAAGTAACCCTATTTATGGCTGAGCATATACTATCTACAGTCTCCATTTTTACAGTCTATACTTACCCTAACCCTCCAGGTACCTACTATAGAGGGAACTAGAGCCCCTAGGGCCCTATATAGTAAGTACCTGGAGGGTTAGGGTTAGGCCTTAAAGTAACCCTGCATGTATGGCTTGAGCATATACTACAAGGAT